CCTGGACTACGGGACATCACATACAAGAGAAACTCCAGCCAATTCAGAATAAAAGATAAGAACACCAATTTTGAGGGAAGGTATACTTCAGTAAGCAGCTGCAATATGCGTTTGAACGTCTAGAAGAATAAGATTAGACCAGAGTTGAACAAACCATACGTGTGTACCCGCCACTAAGTTCAACTGGGTGATCGACGAAAAAGCCTTTTCATGCGATCAACAAGACGCTGCCTGATAGGGACGCTTGATTTCAGGTACTCGTCTTGATTACTTAAGAGACGCCGACACTCGGTAATGTCTGCTCCGCTTGCTGCAATTTTAGGTGCACCGGTGTTTAGACTGGCTTCGCCGAGGCCTGTAGGTAGTTTGTAACTGTCTCGATGAGTGTTGCTTAACAGTCGTATCAAGCTCTGTAGTTCCTCTTTGGTAATCCAGGGCGAATCGCGATTAGTGGTTGCACCATCTATGCGTTGCTGCAGAATCTGCTTCAGAGTACGTTTTCGATCACATGAATCATTAGGCCATTTGTGTAAAGTGGTTTGGAACTCCCGTAGCACTTCGGGGGAAGAACGCGAATATCTTCGCACAAGTGTAAAGATTGAGTTCACAAGACTGGTTTGTAGCAGTCGGGTAGCCATCAAAAGTGATACGGTTGAATATGTCCTGTGAATGAGATAGGGAGGGAAAAGGAAAGTAATTTGAGTCGTTCAAATAAAAAAATGCTATACTGATATGAAAGGTGCGAAGTGGTAATAGTAGGAAGGCTGATTTTTGAAGTTTTATTTTACTCAGAGGCTGCTTGAATCTAAATTGCAACTCCAAAAAAACATTCTATGAAGGGACCACCCCTACGCGGATAATTTTTGTCCAGTCCTTTGAAGCTTCGACTATATTGTACGCAATACCCAGCAGAAACTGTCCCTAAGAAGAGCGCTTTCCGTCGGTCTCGTCAGCTGTATCCACACAGTCGAATGGCAGTCCATCTGATCAGAGAACAGTACCCGTTGGTAATGGGAGAGAGATCCTACCAAGTATCCTGTGGAAACTTAATTCACATTTCGAACTTTCAACAAGTCAACTGGGTTTAACTAGCACTTTATTGCCTGAAGGGACGGGCGGATGGGCCGTAGGACATCCAGCTGAGTTTTTGACTGGTCGGTGGTATGGACCTAGTAACCTAACATATAGCTGTATGTCCTGAGCTGTCAGAGGCGCGCCCATAAGAATGAGATTTCTGCTGATGATTTGGGTGGATGTTTTACTTTCTACCGCACTTGAGACTTAGGAGAATGAATAAAATGCTTAGGCTTCGAACATAATATACACGCGAGAAGTTGTAGTCGGTCTAAAAACATCACCTAGTGCCATAGTTAGAAAGTCAATCATGAGTTTCGGTCTGGATGGTCAAAATTCATTGGTATGCTACTGGCATGATGTTCGCAATAATCATTCAGCAAGTGGAAACGCCTAGGAATTGAGTATGTTGACTTGGTGACTGTTGAACATGGCAGTAATGGGGTCGATTAAAGCAGTAACAATTCCGAATGTACTCCGACAATGTTATCGGGAACCGATTGCAATGGGAAGTAAAGTGCTCGCCAGTTACCCAAAGGGCTCCTGTCGAATTGGAGGGATTACCCACCCGACGGCTTTTTGGCGAATCTTCCGCTTATGGTATCGAAAAGTTTGCAAGCTAGTTGCCAAGCTGAGTGAACAGATCAACTGCAGCCTGATCGAGAGCCAGTAAGCCGCAGTTCTTCAAATAATTTGAAATAACCTTTGACGCCTCGTGAACTGAGGTTGAAACCTAGAAAATTCTGGCAAAATGTCCACCTGCAATAATATCTGAATTCCTGACAAAAATGAGCACAAAAAGAGCCGGCACTTACAAATGCAGTGAACAGCATGGAACTTACGGATTGTGACTTCTTAACTGTTCACACCCCGTAAATCATGGATCGCTAAAAACACAAAGGAACATTATTGGCACTTAGGTGTTCAATCAAATACTCTGACCCACAGAGTAACGAACGATACGTCTGGATCAGCATAGGTGGAAATGAACGACCCGAAAACTCAAAACCTTATGTGAGGGACATAAATTATGCCGTGCAGACAGAATGTAAGGAAACAAGACGGTGGTCATCCGAAGGGTTTTAATAACACATCTGTTCTCACACACTGATGTATGGGGCTGATTTATTAATTCCACTCGGAACTGATGGGAGATTTGAAATACCCCTTGTGTTTTGGGATCATATGGGGAGCCGCAATCTAGGGCTACTAAAATCGATCTTTAGGCCTCAACTTCATTCAGGGCTCAGCGTTAGTAACGTAGTGGGGCTTTGTGCAATCTCCGCCATTTTTGTTTCGCTGTGATATGTCCACACGCTTGCGGCTGCAGTGAGTGTGTGAAACAATACCATCGCGCAACTCTGTTGCCCTCTGCAATATCCAAGGCATCAAAAGTTAGTTGCACCGTCAGCCACGCATTCAGATAATCCATTATATCAGTGGATTCTTGGTTCTGGTGTGACAACCACCTAGACTATTTTCCTACTCCTGAACAGCTCACTTCAATTTGAAAGCAGTGATTTCGCAAGGATTTCTCGCCACTCCAAGGATGACAGTTGCTCGTGACGACATGACAGGGTTGAAAGATACTTGTACTCTCTCCTACTGCAAGAGCTTACCGTGATAAAACGTGTTTCGTGGCTTCTTTACGAGCATTCTTCGAAAACAAGGTGGATGATTCAACAACGGTGTACAAGTTGACGGGAGCTTGCTCAAAATCTCCAAGAGTTTTTTATGATGCAAACTTTTTGATAAAAGCATGGCACAGATATCATCTGGTCCCAAACACAGGTTTTGGCTATTGCCTCCGGAAAGGAACGGAATCTTTTAGCGTCGTTTCTGTTTCGTTTAGCACTTTTAACTGTAAGCTGCATTCATGTCCAACTTCAGCTCAGTATAAGCGATGATTAAAATTCGCAACATCTTGCATGATCATCCAAAATTAACTCCATATAGTTGCTACTTGGTGCGGTTGATTGCGAAGTTGCACGACCTTCAGTCATACAACGACAAGGAGGAGGTGCGTCTGAAATCTCACTTGACTTCAAAAATAACTTTTCTGTATTGTGTCTTCAGATTTCTGATAATTGCCACCCTCTTAGCATCAGAGAAGTTGGCTGACTGCGGCGTGCCCGCAGTGATGTGATAAACAAGCACACATTTGATCATGAATAACTAGAAAGACACACGAAGTTAATCATTTAAGCACGCATATCAAATCACCTTAAGAATCCATCGGACTGCGCATCCAACTTACAACCCGTAATCCAACACGTTTCTTATTATTTTCCTACGGATTACTAAGTCCACTCAGTCGTGTACTCCATCAAGGGGTGAACGAGGTCAACCCATAGAAGACAAGTCCTGTAGGATAGGGAGTGGTGTACATTCTGTGGTCTTGCTTCTCTTCGGGGGTTCGGTTGCGGAGAGCAGAACAAGATTATATGGAACTGAAACCAACGGGCTACTGAACCTCTTTTGTGTTCGAAAGCACCGTTTGGGTTAGCCGAGGGAACTTTCGGTTCAAGTGGCAACTCATTCCAAGGCGATTGGTCCTGCACATATATACCATAAATAGAATGTCGTACCGGATAGGAATGGTTAGTTTCAGGCAAAAGTTGTCACCCACTGAGAATCGCAGTAGGTTGGTGCACATGGAACTACTACAAAAAAGTGGACATTATCCCGACTGACATCTTTTTAGAGGGGCAAGGTGACAAAACAGCAGCACGAAGTGAGCTGCTTACGGGGGTCAAGTCATGTACAGGAGCCTTAAATCGGGAGCCAGCACGAACCACTGTAGTAGCTGTAAAACTCTCCGGTGTTAGCAGGCGGTAGTATCTAGATAACAAAGGTACCGTAAGCTCCACGAACGCACCTGGATATTGTAGCCGAGCTTCGGAAACACAACAAACGTATACTGATATTATCAAGGGTAGGTGCGAAAGCGCCTTGCTGGCCGATTTGTTTAGGAGTTCGTACATTAAAGGACGCGAAGAAACGGGGGGAGGGACGAGTTGTGAGGAGCAGAAACGAGGCGGTAGGCTTGAATGGCGATACGCTATTACACTTCATTACGTGCAAGACTGGTCTGTGGAAGAATGATCGTTAAACGCGTAACGAAGGCACCAGTTACGAAATAATGTTGGAGAAAGACTGCTGTCGCTTACCCACCTTGCTACGTACAAGATTCGTAGCACCAAAATGTCTTAAGTGACAACAACTTCTCACTCACCCTGACTCAGTGCCAAGCGGTAAGCACACACATGCCGTCATTTGAGACGCGTTACTGAATTGTCCGTACAAAAGCGAAGTGCTTTGATCTATTCCATGGACGATCAACTTCAGTACCAAAGGTTTACAGCTGTTCGCTGCAACTTATTACAGAACCATGACAAGCAGGGAACAGGCTGTGAGTATTCATCCGACAAAGGTTGAACGCAGCTTGGGTCTGGACCACTGCAGCCGTTATAAAATAAATTCCACTCTGCGCCAGTGAAATGATCCTGTGGCGAACCACGCTCACATTCAGAGGCTCCGAAAAACCCAAGCCGCAGCAAGTCTACAGACACACACATCAATGCAATAATATGCTGTCTGACAGGTGTCAAGCATTCCCTAGAAATGTCCGAATAAGAGGAAGTTGAGAAGTGATCCGGAAAGCAGCAAGACAACACTCGGGGATGACACTACTTACAGTGAAAATCGATATCCCTGCACTATCAGTTTGCGTACGTTTACTCGGACGAGGTGACGAACTACATTGGGATCTTCGCGCGACACAAACAGCACAGAAAATAAGACACAAGCAACCCTGGAACCCGAAGTGAATTTGTTTGTGATGAGCAGCGCACATGCTGGAAGAAAAAGAGTAGGTTAGAAAAGTATGCTTTATAGCAACAAGTTATGGTGCAGAGGATGGACAGTTAGTGCTTCGCATCATCTGGTGAATGGGTGGAGTCCGAAGAGGTATCCTGACAGATTTTTACTAGTTCATCGTATTCCAACACTTCCTTCTGGAGCAAAGATGCAATTAAACGGTGCAATTTGTCTTTGTTAGCCTGAAGGAGATCGACGCAACGAGTGAAAGACGCAGACACCATTTGCTGTGCTTCCAATTCGATCATCGCCTGGGTCCTTTGACTGTACGGCTTCATTGTATATTCGCTACCAGAAGGATCATTCTAGGACACAAATTGCAGGGACCAGAGGAACAGAAAGGAAAGTGAGCGATGAAGGACTAAATCAGGGCAGTGACGGTACTGCCCAAGTAAGAAACTCATTTGCTACTAGCGTTTTATGAGTAGCTAAGTGAACTTTCATCAACTGAATGACACGTTTGCCTAAAGCTCCAAAACAAATACAAAATCTTGGCTCCTCAACTGAGCTTGGAAAGTAATACTTCGATGCAAACGACGCGGAATCAGAACAGAGAGTGAGGAATGGATTGCTGCTTCACATCAATGCGACATAACGCATCCAAGTCGTACGTCAAAACAAGGACTGTGGACCTATTCTGGTGAAATGGTTATGAGTGAAGGCATAGCACATCAGGAGTGCCATTCTCAAGCCGACGGATAAACTAAGGTGAGCAAATCCAACAGGAATAATCCGAAAGGATGGCTCAGTACGAACCTGTCAGTGTGAGGAATACGGTAAACTCTCTTTACTAAGGGACACCCTTCGAGAGAGCCAGCAAGCCCCTAAGTGCGACGTATCCCTCACCAATAACTTTTAAATATATTTCCCTTACTCAGTAGCCTTTCATCGTATGATAAAGTGCAACGAGCAAAGAAATGAACTGACTGATTTTCGCATACTCAAACGGAGATGTTTGCCTTTTGAAGATCACTAGTTGTTGACATCCAGATAATGGTGTGTTTGAATTATGCCCAATGACAACTCTGTGGAATTTCTTCAGAAAACCAGATAGCTTCTTTAATTTCGTGTTCGTCCTCAAGACTTCAGCGCATGATTGTCCACGTAGTAAATCGAGTTGGATGGACTGCAAGCTTTCTTCTCGGCAAACTAACGGGTTGCTGGATAGTTTATTTGCATCGCCGCGTAGTGTACGAATGCAGGTATTACGAGTTAGCTACTGTTGGCTGCGAAATCGAAGTATCACATTTCACTTTTCTAAAAGGTCACATTCTCAATGTTTCCAGTATGCGAACAGGGGATCTCCGTAATCTCTTAGGGATTTCAGCTAAGTCGGTATCAGGCAGACAGCCGGGTATCGGGCGGAGAGCCGACATTCTGGGGACGCATGACTTCATTTTCCCATTAATACACTGAATTTAATGATCCACAGTTGCTTCGAAATGTCATGCATTGACGGACCAGTAGCTCTCATTCGGATGGTTTACCGCCCGCCATTCATCGCTGTCCCCTAAGCGTGTGGTGTTGATTCCGTTGTCCCCATGTTCCTCAAGAAGTGATTTCACATCCGGTTTTATCACGTTTCAGATGAGAAAAAACTTCAAAACCCAAGAAGACGGTTTGTATTTCAGACCAAAGGTAGCAAAGAAACGTGCCGCTAGTCTCAAAATAAGTCTCATAAGCAAATGCCACTAAGTAGTTGTAAATGATAAAAAGACAACTATCATAAACAAAGGTGTTTTCGTTGAGCTGATGACCGATAATGACAGCAAGACTTGATATCGCTACGCGATGCCGCTGGCCTGCGACACAGGGGTTCGGTTTAGAGTGTGCCTGATGTTCACACTGGACCCATCCATTTTCTGAATACACTACCCTAGCACTCTAGCAACCTGAACCCATTCACTCACTCATTCAGATGCGTGGCCCAACGAGAACAGGTACGCCTATTCGATGTTTGGGAATGGATTATTGGTCACCTGAGGTCGTTCTCAAAGCACTAAACCTTTTTGGAATCAAAACAACAAACGGAGAAAAAACATCATTAATTGTGAAGTGCACCAAGGAGCGTACTGAAGGGAATTTTATAGCATATGCAGTCACAGGCGTGAAGCGAAGGGTGACAAAAATTGGAAGTGAGACAACAGTGAAATGAGGAAACTCCATTTACCTCAAAGCTTAGGTGTCCAATCGTTTTCGATAGACCCCATTCGCGAATCTGTCTGAAGGCCAAGTCACTGGCTGCCTTGAGATAGCGCTGAGAGGCTTAAAAGAAGATTGGAAGTGACGTTGTACAGCTATCATAAAATGTATGACCAAACTTAACTAGAAAGTGGCAACCACTAACCGACGGAAATTTTTCGAGTGCAGTGTACACAGGACAATATTTGGCTATTGATATCTAATATCAGCCCAAGAGGAATGAAAATGAGGATAACTTAGTGCCGCAGGACTTCCAGTTGCGCAGCAGCACTAGAACGACGTCGAATCACACAGACGTTCAACAATTCGTAAGCAACGGGGCTTCTGTGAAACAGCACGATTGTGACGTGCGTTGTCGTGAATGGCTTAAATGCGCTGGAAGGTATGGTTGCGAAAGCTTTCGTTCGGCTTGTTCGACTGTGTATGTAACTTGGGCCGATTGTGGTAGGTTAGCAGCGGACTCATTCTTTTTCCGAAAGAGCACTTTATTCCCAACAAATTGTCTCTTGGATGTACCAGTGAGACATGCGTACTGCTTTGGTGGGTAATGACGAAGAACAAGGCAAAATACGAGTCAAGTGCAGCGTTATTTGGGTGCGCTATCATGGCTTCTGATTGTCCTCAGATCAGCTGGCAGTTAGATGCGGTCGGCGTGTGTGGATTCTTAGTGGAAATTCACACACATTCAGATAGGTAACTGCATTATGAATCTTCGCATCCATACAACGCCAAATCAGCAGTTTTCGTTGGTGAGCCGTGCTCGAATGAGCCCATACGAGCAGAACTGAAGCGATCAAATTCACACACATTCAGATAGGTAACTGCGTCCATACAACGCCAAATGAGCAGTTGTCGTTGGTGAGCCGTGTCACTAAAATATGCTCGAATGAGCCCATACGAGCAAATGAACTGAAGCGATACAGTCGGGTATTACAGCAGAATGAATGGCCATAAGACTCATTGCCCAATAAATGGGGAGAATGCTACCCAGAACACTGAGGCAGGGAGAGGAAAACCCGGTGGTCATCGGCTGGACACCTCAGATGCCATCCAAAAGATCCTTCGGGATAGTGTCATTAAAACATTCTTCCGAATTGATAACACCGTACAACGACACCTCGTAAGGCCTGAGCACCCTGTCGAACCGAAACACCGCACAAATTGCATCTACCGAATTTTCTGTGCACAGCCAGATAACTGCATGTGCGAATCACGGAGCACAAACGACATGCGCATTTTTCTCCATCAATCTGGGAAAAACCTAAGAGCGACTCGGCCATTGCACTTCACGCACGAGTCAAGCCATCGAATCAACTTCGACGGTACATGTATACTACAGTCAGGATTCAAGGGACGTACGCTGAAGCTCCAAGGACCAACGCACAGCCGAGCTGCATCAGTATTAATGGTGCCAGCATCCCGTCTTCCCAGCTTTAACTTACTGCACACCTGAGTAGGCATGGTAGCCAGATGTCAAGCAATGATCTCAACAATGACGCACCACAGACAGCACAACAAAAGAAGTCACATTCTAATCAAAGTAAACAGGACCACGCGCACTCGCACAAAGGCTAGTACACGCGCACACACGTTGGTCGCAGTTGACTGCCAACTGATCTCAGAGAACACACCAAACAGGAGACATGATAGCGCACCCAAATAACGCTGCACTTGACCCGCATTCAACTGATTGTAGAAATCCTTGAAAAAGGCTGTCCACCGCGACCGAAACGTCGGATTATGACATCCTATTCCACTACGCTGTTTAGACTTTAAAAAATTCTGTATTATACATCACATGGCACTCAATCCCTTCAACACTACCCGAACCGAATTCGGTCCGGAACTCCTGTAACTTAGTGTCGACTTGAGATACGGCTGAAATTCACCTGAACCCTTTCTTCATGATATACCACAACCGAATGAGCTTCATAGAGGCTGACTAATCATTCAATTTGAACGATAGTCAAGGTGGCGAAGTTTTTTCCTCCGTATGACTACACACAAGACCACCAAGAAGGCTCAAATCACAGGCAGGCGCAGCTTAGAGAATTCAATCGAATTTAAGTGTAGTTAATTCAATTGTGGCTTTTCATCAATCAAGTTTGAACCAAAGTGAGGATACAGCTAGGATTTTGTATGAGATGCAGATGGTGCAGGAGCCACATCACGGTGATTATATATTCGATGACGATGATGATGATGATGGATAAGCACACGTCATTTAGTAGTTGAATATGATTATTGGTGTTCACCATGTTGTGAGGACATGGAACCAACGTCGAACAGAGTATCAAGTGAAAATCAACTGAACTGCTGGTTTTTACTGACCTTCAACTACATGGGCTGCACAACAGCTGCCTCTTGTTTCAGTCGGAATGGGAATCAGGATATCGAAGAAGTTTCTTGACCCAGCACTACACACAACATTGCAGAGAAATAGGGCAGCCAACTAACCACTTCCCCTTGCGTCGCATCAAAAGAGCGAACTTCCTGAGCTTCCTCAACCTCATTTCCCAGTTGGACACCCAGTCGTATAGTTTTTCGCCAACTTCACGAGTGGTATTGTATGAATGAATACGTGTCGATATTTTGAATATCGTTCCAACTGAAACATGACGCGGTTTCCTCGAAGTACATTCAGGTGAGGAGTATTGTAAATGAGGGGTTCAGGTGATGTAGTCATTCGTGTTTGAACCACGGGGTATAATATAATCAGATTTTCCATCATTCGAAAAGTAGACAAAATTAGTGATCCACCAAACAAGAAAGTTGCATTTCAGCGGAGGGTAACTTGTAGTGGGTGACGTAGGAGAACTCTTTATCATGTAAAGGTGCGAGAGGCGACCTGGGTACCTTTAACAAGCAAGCATATAAACATTCATTGGAAAGGAGACCAACTGTGAGACAGACTACTTGCCATCGGACACAGCGTTGAAAATAACTTGTTCTGCGGCTCTGCCGCCCAGAAGCACCGCCATTCGATCTTTGAGTTCTTCCGTGTTGAACAGTCGTCGTTCCTCTGGCACCAAATGAGTGAATCCCAGCCCACCGGATGACTCTTCCCCAGCCATTGTCCGAGGTACAATGGATATCTTGATGGGAACTAAGCCTGTTCGGGGAAGGAGCCAGGCAACTAAAGCACGTCCCGCTTCTTGAACAGCTGCTACGCGTCGTTCTGGTGGTGAGAGGGGATTGGATTTTTTTGCTGCTCCTGTATGAAAAAGTGGAGGATTACGAGTATCGCGCATTAATTTACACAATAAGTGGAGTTACAGAGAATATATACGATGGAGAAGAACGCATAAACTTTCGCGAAGCGTTTGTAAAGCAGTGGCTGAGCTGGAGAATTTAGTAGCCCTTAGTACATGATTCCAGAACTTTGGACCGTAGTTCTGGACAGATTGCATTCGAGTTCCCCAGAAGTTGCAGCTTGGGACAACTGAGAAACTGTCATTTTAATGGTCACCTGCCGCGACTCAGTGAGTGATTTCACAACGTCCGTTTAGCTGCCGTTTTTCCCCTACTTTTAGTGCATACACACTAGTTCAACGACTGTGTCGGAGCAAATTTTAACGCAGATGCTTCCGTCACATGTATGTGAACCGAGTAACCTGGCGTTCGCGCGCCCATTGGGCATTGGCAACTGCCCAACAATTCACATACAAGCCCTTACTAACCAAGCTCTGTTGGAACAGTTGAGGTACCGCAACGCAGTTTATCGGTTTTTCGTTCAAACCCGTAAAGAGCCTTTCGATGTAGTTGTACTCCTGGTCACCCAAACTCGAGTACGTCAGCTTTACAGGTCAGTAATACCGCATTACTTGGATCAAAAATCTAGTGTAACTATTAGGGGACTGGGTCCTCCTTAAATAACATAAATGATGATAAGAGAAACTATTCTATTCGAGTTGCTGATAAACTTTCTGGTAAAACTGTACCCATCAACAGGGAGCGGAAAAAAGCGAACATTTATTGAAAGCCTAGTTGAGAGAAAGCGAGCGGGTGCGATTTGTTTACGACAATGCATTGGAGCTTCTCGCCTTTCTGGGTAAGGGGAGGTCGTCAAGGAAATTTAGTGTCAATGGTTTGATTATGAAGATTATGTCCATCCTAACAGCATCATTATAACACTTCACTACGGACTGTCGACGCAAACTGTGTAAGCGAACAACTAATGCGAACGACCCATGGTCTCATTGGGCGCTGAACACCGTGATTTTATTTGCACTCCCCACTTTTATGGTCTACCTGTGGGTTTTACGTCTTTTGCCTGCGAATCCGCACTGTTTGCTTGGACGACATTTTAACGGTTCAGTAAGTAAGAACCTACCAGCAAGAATTCGTTCGAAAGCAACCTCAAAGTCATTGCGAGTGACCCCTGGCGTTACGTCATCACGCCTGGCCGCGACAAGTGCGGCCTCGTTGCAAAGTCGTGCGATATCAGCTCCACTCATACCTGGGGTCCAGGATGCCAAGCGGTTGATCAGCTCAACCTGGTTGATTTCTGTTGATATCCGATATTTAGCTGATTAAAAAAATGGAAAAATAAGTGTTAAACAACCTCCAGCGTGGAAGACCTGCAGTGTCCAACTTACAAGAATAAAAATTCACGGAAATAGTACAGGCAAGGGTAATGATCGAGTATGGCATTCGTCGTAGACCACTCAAATGCGATTAAATAAATTTGGCACCGTGTACTTTGCGATGTAAACCGCATTTGAGTCTCCTCGAAAAAAGTCACCTTCATTCAAGGAAACGTCCGGTTAGGAGTAAGAGAATAAAGTGTGTGACAGTATATTTGGAAACGAAAGACTTACCAATATACATTTCTAATAATTCCTTCCGCTCGGCCAAATTCGGAAGATCAATGAAAATATGACGATCGAAGCGACCGGCTCTCAGAAGTGCCTTATCCAAAAGGTCAGCCCGGTTGGTAGCAGCAAACACAATAACACCCTCCTCCGTATCCATACCATCCATTTCTACCAACAACTGATTCAATGTCTGTTCCATCTCGGCTATACCTGGTCCCATGCCTCCTTGTGAACCACCACGGCGCCTAAACGAGAAGGGATCGATGGAAGGAAGCATAACTGGTGCCGCTTTTCAGGAAGATTTTAGTAGTACGACTGTGACAGATGTACTGAGAAACCTATGCAAATCGCTAACAAAGTGACAAGGTTTCATCCACCCTTGTCTGCATGACAGAATCCCTGAGAAGCCAGCCATACGGTTGGCTTATGATAGGCGGTAATGGGAACGAGCCGGAATATTTGTAACTATGGTGAGTTCACTGGTGGTTGATCAGGTGGATGTTGATCTGTTCATCGAGCTTGTTAATCAGCTTGCAAACGTTTCATCACCAGTCATCAGTGGTCGCTGATCATTAGTGCTTTATCACTTGGATTGAGAACGAAACGTTAGTAACCTAATTGCCCAGCACAGCGAACAAATTAACGGCTACCTGATCAACCATCTATAAGCGGTAATGTATAGTGTAGAACTAGCGAACAGTTTAGCCAGAGGATAGCATGTAACTAAACAAGTCGCTTACATGGTTGACAAAATGTAGAAATGACGGATAGCGTTTAAACGTTATAACTTCCCAAAGTGGTGGTGGTTATGGTGGTACCCGAGTTGCGACGAGCAAGAGAAGACGGTTCGAAGTCTCACACTCAATACATTGGTTCAAACTGTGAGTGCACGAAGAGTAGGACTGCTCATTCATCGATCAATCACACAAAAAAGATGCTCGTGATGTTCCGTAGGACTAATTTAAATTGTCCTCAATTTTGGGGTTCAACCTGCTAGATAATTAAGTGAAAACAAAAGGGTAAAATATCGAACGAGGCAGCTACGGACGATAGAGTTAGTGGAGAGTAGCAGTAGTAGGCGAATAGGAGTAGCAAGTGAGGTATTCGAGTGTAACTTGCATAAATTTAAGAGCTACAAAATACCAATGTCCTCTGGTTGGGACGAGATGGCCCAAGTGGTCAGAGCGCGAATTTACCGACCGGAAGGGCCTTGGTTCGAACCCGACCTCTGCCACTCGACCTCCCCTGTCTAGGCTTGGGCAACCTGGCAGTATCCCATCCCTAGTGCAACCTTCAGGGAGCACGGCAGTTAGGCACCGAAAGGGTGCTACAGCTGATGGGACTCAACATCATTGTGTTCGCTTTCTGCGGAAACCCACCTAAGCACACGTCTACGTTCAACATATGCTGAACGATTTTCGTTCATTTAAGAAGTCCATGTTCCATTTGAGACAGTAATTGCTTTGGACTACAGGATTCCAAGGGTATGCGATGCAGAAAAGATCAGGACATAGGTTTATGAACTGCATTGACAGACGCTCTGGAAAACATGTGAAGGCTACTTACCCTCCGGAATCCACCGCCGATCGTCGGCGGCCAAGTGAATCCAGTTCATCAATAAAGATTATGGCAGGTGCTTTGGTTCTCGCAGTTCGAAACAGCCGGCGAATCCGGGAAGCACCCAACCCACCAATCACTTCGACAAACTCTGATCCGGCCATAGAGAAAAACGGAACATCAGCTTCGTTGGCCAACGCTTTGACCTTGCACGTGGATGGGGGAAAATGACCAGAAGATGACTAGGCTTTTATGCAAAAAATTTCTAGGATATAAGCCCAAAAAGATTACCACAAATGTGACCGTTGAAACAATAGCAAAAAAATGCAGCCAGGCTAAATAAAAGAAACACGGAAAGTATCTGGCCAGGTAACAAAGGAATTATCTATTACTATGCTGCACGAAAACCCACCGAAAAAGACAGCCCTCGGAAAATATTACAAAAATACATCTGGATTACCATGGAAAATACGTCGCATATAACCAACGATTTAAAAAAAGTGGTCATCCTAGCCTGTCACGGGCACTGAACTGTTCGAGGAATGACAGGGGCTATCCTGCGTAATGCGTGGACACCCTCCTAAATCTAGCAAGCTCACCGAGAGCGTCTTTCGTCCAACAAAATCAGTCAACTGATGGATCAAGAGTTTATGGACATGCAGTGTTTAGTCGGGGTACCTGAACTGTGTAGTCCCACTCAACAAAAACGTTAAAACAACCGTAATCTCCCTCTGTTAGATGAGGACTGCCTTTTGACACAGTTAGCAGTAGCTGCAATGGCACACAAACAAAGTTGCTATACCATTAGGGGTCTAGACAAGCCACATGGGCTGCTTCGCATGAGCAACCAGTGCTGACATAAAGTGAATGAAATAAATTTTAGGGAATGATATGCAGAAAACTAACCGTTGGTCTAAGGAGAACAATATCAATTGCTGATGTCATCCCTGAAAGGAATAAAATACTGGTCTCTAGATCAGTGAACTGCAACTTTATTTTCACTGTGTGCCCCTTTCAGTAAAAGAGGCCCACCGCAACGTAAAATAAATTTTGATAATTATTCACTCTTCTGTACACACTCGGGCTTCCATAATAAGGAATGTTTTTAAATGACCAGGAAATGAAAACTGAAACTTTGGAAAGGCTGGGGTGCAACCACACTGAAATATTCTAAGATTTGTTCACGCACAACCTAAATACGCAAGTTCTACAGACACATTCCTACCGGTTCAGTGGGCAGTGAGACTTCGTCATGATTGATGGATAACAACAATTAACATAAGATAGATAAAGATGGACGAAAGGGAGACCGAACTCGAAGTCAACACGATATAGGTTTGGGTGTAAATACCTCTTGGCCTCCGATTCGATATGAAACTTTGAATAAAAACGAAAATGGATTCTACCAGGCTGAAAAAATTTTCTGAAGGCTAACCAACGGAAGCGGTGATCTTACCTTCCAGCCAACACAGTCGCCACTAGATAGATAGAAAAGGGAAAGATCACAGTTTGGTGGTGCTAAAGGATCGACAAATTACTCTTCTTATGGCCTAGCCGACGGTTCGCAGTACTTTGGACCAACGATGGTGGCAAATGACAACAGTCGTCTGCGGCCAATCTTAAGTTATCAGGTCTTTATGTTGCAGTGATCCTGTGGAGTGTATGAGCTGAAACACAGTTCTTAAGGTTCAATCATACCACGAAGGCCAACGGGGAGCAGCCCGACGAGGAACAGCAAGTCCCAGAACTGTGAGAAGCCGTATTACCAGATGATCTGGAGGTCAAGTCGTAGTGTCCCCTGCGATGGGAGTACGAAGACAGTAAACCGTTTCCTTCAAGCGACCAGCATGTCTATAGTTATGACAACAGTGATACTGTCTTCCTTAAAGAGATCACGGGCTAGAAAAGGTAGGCACTAAAACCCTTTACTCTGACCGTCCAATCGACCGTGACTACCTGCGCACTATTCAATATGGACGAAATACTTTTAAAACCAGTCTAGTACTCTTCAAAAGGCACCTGCTGTGCGCTGCCTTACACCATGCATCCTCTGGCTGTGCCAACTCCCTGAAGCCAAGTGGCTGATGCCATTGAGTCGTTCGGTATGGGAGAGAGCTCTCACAGGCTCAAACCGGGGTAACTCAAACAAGCCCCCTTCTTTCGTTGGGTCAAGCATGAAGTATCATCCAACCATCATCCACACCCCCTCCAGACACACCAAATGATGTAATGCGGTTAGCCCATCCAACGGTTCCCTAAACAATGTCCCGTATGCAAAATATCCCTCAGAAAAATGAACCAAAATAATCCCCTGGTCTGATCCATATGGCAGCCTGGTGTCCACACCCTCCGTTAAGTTGGGCAACAAGCGTCTCTAGCTGAAATCTCGCTTTCCCTCTTTGTCGATGAACGCTGTCTCCGAAATACGTATACAAGACCCCACTGTGGTCGCGCCTCAAACCCATTAGGACGAAGTCAGATGTTCCACATTTAACTCTTCGAGTATCTGGTGATCCTGACACAATGACTCGTGGTGTCTATAGTATGGTAATAACACGTAGCCCCAAGGCAGAAAGGCGATCTAGTGAACTGCATGCCCATAAACAGCCGTCTTTGTGCTGAGAGGCTATCTGGTTCAATTAAGATTAGTACAGGTTCATGCGGTAAACAGTGTTTCTGAGACGTATCGGTGTATGCCCCGATAGGCTGAAGTTCCGAATCTCGCTTCAGCATTCCTTCCTCAACATAACCTTTGGATGAACTCAACAAACTTGAATGGAACGTTGGCACCAGCCCACCATCAATACAGAAATCCAGTGACAAATATCATTCCTCAACGCCACAAGCACCCGGTCATGATGGCCTGAATTTCGTACCTTTCAAAGGTACAGAAACTCCGGTGAAGAGTTTAACACTACTGAGGAGATCTGAAACGGAAACAAAATACCATCGGAATGAAGCGTCTCAACCGTGATCCGCCTTCAAAAAGGGTACAAGAACACCACGCAAAAACCATCGTGGCAATAGCCTTGTAGCCGTCGCATCCGAGGTGCTCTCTAGCGTTAATATGCGGTTAATAGATTATCGGGAGGGACAAACTCGTGAGAATCAGGATAGATTTTGAAGTGGCCGAGCATGTATGGACCATATCTTTACCCTGAGGCAAGCTCTGAACAGCACCACTTTTACAGAATCCGACGTCGGTGGTTTTTCTTGAGCTAAAAGCTGCTTTTGATCCTGTCGGCTGTAAGAAACTTTGGTGGTGACTGGCTGGAGATGAGATTACTCCTCGAATCGGAAGGCCAGGGAAACTTTTGCCACCCGCTGGTACCTCTAGTACCAGTGTGACGTCAGTCTGTCAAGAACAGTGAATACACTGCTGCGGTGTAATCCTCACTGTTTTACAGATCAGAAGCGCGCCTCTTACTGTCAGAGGATATGTGAGAGCTGTATAGTTGCCTATCGGTGCTGAAGCATTGGTCAAAGTCTGGCGGGGACATCGGAGAGCTCTTTTCCCCAGCCATGCGTTGAATGGGAGTGACCGAGGGGTGGATAGTTTATGACTTGGAAATGAATTACGAAACAACTAACCGATAAACTCAATCAGATCGATACCAATGCGGCCTCTCTGAATGGGGATCTCGGAACTTAACCCATTAGCAGACATGGCTCAGCCACGCAGTCAGTGCATCTCGTGGATCAAAGAGCTCGCCTTCCATACGTAGCTATCCACTTTCCCGAAATAACTTGTCATTTCACTGCCTAGAATTCTGGGCTATATCTTTTATTCGCCCTCATTCTCCGGTAGCCGAAACTGTAGCAGCACGAACCAAATTACCCATAGTTCCTGGTTTATAGCCGATAAACTGACTGACTGACTGAATTGATGGTGGCCTCAAGAACTGCACTGAGCCAAAATAAAAACGCGAAGCGCTAATTAAAGGGTTCGACGTCCGTTGCGCCAGGGTTGGCTGCTATTCCCCGTCTTGCGGTTTCGGGCAAATTTTTCCAAAAAGAACGAATCGAAGCAAGTGTTTTGAAAACGTGCTGAGGCTTCGTACCTGGTAATATTGTGTGCAACGGCATGCAAACCGAATGTGAAACCGGCTAAAACACTCACTCATAATAAACAAAAAGTACTTGGTTGAAAAATAAAAAAAGGCCAACACTCACCAGTAGAGTCTTTCCAGTCCCGGGAGGGCCTAGTAAAAGCGCTCCTTTTGGCAACTTGGCTCCAAGTGCTTGGTATTTTTTCGGGTCTTTCAGATAGGAAACAAACTCCATGACTTCCTCCTTACTCGCGTGAAGACCGGCGACATCCTGTGAAAAAAGTCGACGTCATTTGGATGTATACACCGGAAAACTTGTAGGCGTTCGCACTTTTCATCCTATGTGGAATTTATGAAAAACACGACAAATGCTTGCATAATCACCTTGAACTTAACGTTCGTTGTGACAGGCTTGACTGTCTGGAAGCCGAATGGGTCCAAAGAAAACGGTAGGCCACCATAATAGCGATCACTATCATTTTGCTCAGTTGCTTTACGTTTCCGAGCTGCATCTTGAGCTTCCTGTTCAGACTTCGTTGCCGTTCCCTTTCCATTTCGTTGACCCGACGTCAATAGGTTCCTGCGCCTCAGCACCGTGTATGACAACAGCCTCCGGAAAGAAGCTATGGTCATAAAGCCAGTTACGAACACGCACAGCACTGACGATATATCCGGAAGCGCATCAGCACTGTGAGGGAAATTAGTATGTAGGGCAGATGAATGAGGGTGAGTGTATAAAGTGAGCGTCCTGCATGAACCATCCGAAATGACCTGCTAGAGAACTTTATCCGATCTAGCCACCTTAGAGAGAAAAACAAGCCAGTATGGGTTGCGCTGGCAGTGAAGAGCGAACAAAGCACCGCAACGCATACTAATGTCGTCCCGAAACCCGGATACACCTCAGTAAACAGAGCAGAAACTACTTAACGCTACTCACATTTTGCAAAAAGCATTCACAAACTAGTTGAACTCTACTTTTTTTTAAAAAAAAACAGGCTATGCTTGGGTGCTGGTCGAACAGCAGAACCAGAATCCACGATAAAAAAAATCCCTTAGCTTAAGGGTACGAACCTGATCGAAAAAATCACCAAAGATGATCGAATACTACCGCTTATCTGAGAAATCATCACTCGAGGAGCCGGTCAGCATGTAACCAAATGATGTGGATCCCGCAGCTGAAGAAGGTGAGCTGTATTCCGCCCAATTGCGAGTTGATAGAACTGCTGATCAGCAGCTAGTAACCGAACGGTTTAGTGTTCGAGCTACGAACCGGAAGGTTGTGGGTCAAAAACTCCATTAAATTTCGTGGGGTGCCCCCTGCGGGCGACTCCTGATAAGGATCAAACAGCTGTACAGTGGTTCCCGGCTTTTCAGCCCTTACAGGACGAAGTCTAGATTAGTAAGCGGTCGTCGCCAGCTGCCACTACTGTATGTCCAAGTAGATTAGGTAATTCAGTGTGGCAAAGGATTGCGATGATGACTTTAGAGATGCCAACCATTTGAAGTTAACGGGCCACATAAAAACTTAGTGCGTCGTGGTATACTGGTGGGCGTGAGGAACTAAAAACAAAGATCAAAAGTAAGATGCCTCAATATCAAGAAGTAAGCCAGGCGAAGACAAAATATAGAAAGTGTGAGTAACCTGAAGTACTAATCAATCGCATTCCGGAGATGACACACCGACGGTACAAAAACAGACGCCATGGTGGTCAATCTCAGAAAGTTTCAGTGCTTTCAAGATATTAACGACCGCACTGATAAGTGTTGTGAGCATGAAGAAAACTCAGGCAGACGTAGACAGCTTCTAATCTTATGATGGTTATGCTTGTTTCTGTTCCACGAAGCGCAGTGGAAGCTGTGCTGGAGTCAAACTGTTGTTTCTGAAGTGAGCTGAGACCTTATACAAACCTGACATTTTGTTTCCGGTTCATTTGAGAGGCATCTCCTGGCGAAAATAAAAGTTGGTAACGATCATAGCCAGCCACATGTGTGACTGTCTTCCGCAACTTTTAAGAACGCTTTTTAGATTTGGCCGGCTCAATCACCAAAAGTATGTTGCACTTGAAAGATGTAATCTGGCCTTTTATTTACCAATCGATCGTGTTGTGAAGTATACTCACAACTGCAGAATGAAAAACAGACAGCAGATTTAAAGAGGGCTGGTGGGGCGAGATGGTCCAAGTGGTCAGAGCGCGAATTTACTGACCAGAAAGTCCGTAGTTCAAACCCGACCTCTGCCTCGACTTCCCCTGTCTAGGCTTGGGCAACCTGGCGGCATCCCAGCCCTCGTGCTTCCTTCGGGTAGTAGGGAAGTCAGGCACCGGAAGGGTGCTACAGCTGAACGAAAGAGGGCTGGTGTATGTCCAGCAGTCCATTGGGTATTTTACAACATAAGACCTGAAGTATTGGCACTCACAAGTCAAACACATTATATATCCAACAGCTTAAAGTCTGGATCAATCGACAAATGTTCATGTGGTTAGCAAAACTTAAGGCTAACAATAAGACAGCATTACCTGGGTGAAAATAAGCGTCCCGATCATGCAACCTCTCCTTAATGCTCAATATAATGAAGCATCCTTTATAAGGTAAAAACGTACACAGCAGATTGGCAAGCTAGGATGGGATGATCAAGTGGATAAAACTGTTGCTTCTTTTATGAACAGCTTGAAGTCACTGACCCGTTGAATCGTCTCTTCAGAAATACAGAGGAACACAACGCTTTCAATTCCTCTCCTGATTGGGAACCATCGTGAAGTATTCGACCGGGGAGCATTCGATTCATATCTGCTGCCCTCTGCCTGCGAGTCAAACTATTCAAAAGCAGCATGGTGAGGTGAAGACAATAATGGTGGTCAAGTGCTTTGTGACTGGAAGTCTTCAGCCTGACGATCTAACCACCTGAAATTACATGAAGGCTTCCAGAGTGGGTTCCCTAGCATAGTTTTCTAGCTAAGGATGTGAAAACTTGGGTAGCTCAGTGGTTAATGTACGAGTATACTGATCGGAACGACCCTGTCCGAACCCAACCTATAAATCCCGACTGCCCCTGTCTAGACTAGCGTAATCTGGCAAAATCTGAGATCTCGTGCTTCCTTCTGGTGGTATGGCCCCAGTCGCCAGCCAAACACAGGGCGGGTCACGTGAACCCCATTCCGGAAGGCGAACAGCACCTTCATTCCTTCCTTTCTTCATTCGCCTACGCCATGCCAAATTTTGTCCGCCTCTCCGAAATAGGCAGGGAAAACAGCGCTCTTCTCGGCAGGTGGTAACTCGGCATGCGAAACACATGACCCAGCCATCGTAGCTTCCAGTACTCAATGCATTCTTTGAGTGAAACAATGTCTCCTGATCACCGGTTCCGGCAGATTCCAGCTATAGTCCTGAGACATCGGTGGTCAAACACCTAATAATGTCCCAGGATCTCCACCCAAAATGGCCAAGCCTCGCAGACGTGCAACAATACAGCCCGCAAGCGGCCCCTTAGACCCAGTGAAATGCCTTTTTGACACAAGTGGGGTAGATTGGCTAACGCGCTTCTGAACTTCATCTGTCACACTACGTATGGCGTTATCTTCAGTGTCACTCTCTCAAATCTGTAAGCCCCACAGCAAGACTCTGAACCTTTTGGGCGCAAATTACATACCGAAAGGCAGGGGGCCGCGTGAAGGAGGCTCCTTGAGAAGAGCAGGGCAGGAAGATGCAGCGGTCACAAAAAAGCAGACCTATCAGGAAGGAAGTAACCTAGAAATCGAATAAAAGCTGTTTCAGTGTCTCTGTCGCCAAAGCGAATTACCACTTCAACCCAACAGACGCGGGTAGATGTATAGAGCGCAGATGAACAAATACACAGGGGCGGGATGGCCCAGTGGTTAGAGCGCGAATTTACTGACCGAAAGGTTCGTAGTTCGAACCCGGGCTCTGCCTCTCGATTTCCCCTGCCTAGGCTTCAGCAACCTGGAAGTATCCAAGCCCTTGTGCCTCTTTCTAGTGGTATGGCAGTTAGGATGCTACAGCTGAAATACAAATACTCATACATCTTTATCTGATGGTGAAACAGCAGGACCCAAAAACAAGCGATAATCGGAATACGGCATTTAACAGAACGCCAACACGCGTCATAGAAGCCGCAATGGCTATTCTACATCGATAGGAATTCAGACCATGCCCATACCGTTCAAGTGATTACCTGCTTGCTGATGAAAACAACTGATCCCGCAGGGTGCTTTGGCTACTTTAGGTCTCCGAGTTGGCGCTGGTATTAGCTGAATGCCGTGCACAATTATAAACTTACTAACCGGAAGACGTGGAACCTCCATAGGTTGCACCTGGATGTAAAAGGCTAAAGATGTACCTGGTTAGATTCCGAGCGGCTCTCGAGATGCCAAAACATTGAAAATTCCTGAGAATGCCAATGAACATATCACTACGCAATCTTTCACACGTTACAACGTTTCAAACAAGCAACGATCCGACCCTCCCAGTAAGCAATACACGGTGTGCAACTGACAGGACTGATATGTAAAATCCAATGATGGCACGTTGCCAGCCAAAAAAACCGTCACGAAGAGACTGGACCTTACCGTGGTGTGACGGTTTGCGCACCTCAGCGATCCATTGAGATATACTGGAGAGTGTCTCGCGACACTCACAGTCTCTCATACCAGGTTGGTCAATGGTTAGAGGTCGTCTGACGAACACAGTCTCCTGACCCTCCAGGTTGGGGGTCGGAACATGTGGCAACTTGTCCCGTAGAAATGGTAATGCATTTGCATTTCCCACCAAACACCGCTGCCTTGCGGTTAGGCTTTTGAGTCAAAGGCTTTGGTTGAGGACCCTAATCCTCCTCCTCCATCCCACGTACAACCATGAATTGCACATACATAAATAAACTCATGCCACATCGGCCGTCGCGT